TCATGGATTATTCCTTACTTGTTGGGTTGGACGAGGAGTTATCGATTTCATGCGACAATATACGCGGGACAAGCACTTGGAGACATGGGTCAAGGCATCTGGGATACTAGGTGGCTCGAAGAATGCATCCCCAACGATCGTTTCGCCGAAACAATACAAGAAAAGTTTCCGAAAGGCGATGACTACTTATTTTCCCACCATACCTGAACAATGGAGTTCATGACATAGTTTCATCATCGGTTCATTAATAAGGGCATGAGAAATTGTAATTGCCTGACAACATGAAGTGAGCTCTCTCCTCTCCGTCGTCGGGTACTCTTCGATCCTCGTGTTTTTTCGTTTGTCAAATTCTTTTGCATTGTGGTTGGAATTGGCCTGTATTTAAACATATGTACACTATGAAGAGGGAGGGTGAACATGGTTTTCTTTTTGAGTACTCCTTTTAGTGACCTCTAAAAAAAGGGAAGACTGTCCTCAACTGTCCCCTCGATCCATCTGTGTATTTTGTAAGGTTAGAAGTGGAACTTGTTCAACTATATAATTGATTAATATTTATTGATGGGATATTTTTATCGATTGTTGTTTTAATTTGACATATTCACTTGATTTGATAGTCGTAAAAGGGATTAAAATCAATAAAATTATTAAGCATAAAAAGTTAAATTTATTAATGTTTTAAATTGAAATAAATTTAATAAAATGCGAAATAGAATATGTTAGCAATAAAGTGAGTGAAAATAAAAGATGAAATATAAGGTCATTCATGCTCGTTTTGTACCAACAAAAACGAAAAGAAAGAAACCCTAAAACCAACAGGTTCTTAATGAAATATAACATCCTCGTCAGTCAATAAGGGATAATACATTCAACCATGTCCGTCAAAGCTTACAATCCCTAGCTTTGCTGGTATGTACAAAAAAAAAAAAAAACAACCCAACAATATCCATCACGGACGAACCGCAATGTTTTATGTTAGGAGGAATGAACTCAAACTTATAAAATATTAGGGAATCAAAATAAATTTTTAATAAAAAATAAATAAAATACTTAAAATATATGATAATTTTAAATCTTTATGATAGGACTGTCTCGGTCTATCTGTTCATAGCTATTATCCATTATAGTATAGGGTGAGAGCTAAGACTGGATATCTGGAAACTTGACTATGGAATTCTCTGTGTTATTTCTTCTTAAAATTAAATTAAATGATCTCTCTTAGGAAGCTGCTGCTTGGGGTCCTCCTCTATTCGTTGCCACGAAACTCACCCGTTTCTGCAACATCAACATCCAAAACAAACAAAATTTTATATTAAACCCCCTTTTTAATTTAAATAAAAAAACAATTAATATACGCTATGCATGACAAGACGTGCATGCATGTTTCGAAAAGTTCAAAGTGATGATAAACAATTTCGTGTAGTTCAGTCAAATTAACTTTCTTCCTTCTAGTAAAGAGAATGAAAATATATTTAAAAAGAAGGGTAAATTATATCGTTTTAACTTAACTATAATCTCTCTCCTATTTTTCTCATCCAACTTTCAATTTGATCATTTTGCTCACTGAACTTTAAAATCAAATTATTTTGCTTATTCGACCATTTCTCTCTAAAAATTGATGATTTAGTTTTTTTATTTAATATAAAATAATTAAAAAAATAAAATAAAAACAAAAGGTGTTCATGCCACCGTCGACTATCGTAGGTGGTGGTCGTTCGGTTCTAAAATAGGATGGGTTTCTTCGCCTCAATACCTTGAGTCTATATACCTCCATTTTATCAGAATTTATTTCAAAGTCTAGAATTTGAGATTGAAAGTGAGAAAACTGAAACATTTCAGTCCAAATTCATAGGTTTTGAGATATTTTCTGATGAAACAACCACCAGATTCAGGCTCAGGGGTCGAGATGAAACGATTCATGAAATTTAGGACTGAACGATTCATGAAGTGGTGGCTGACGGAGAGGAAATGAAGAGAAAGACAAAGGGTAAATTACACCATGAGTCACAGAACTCTACTCTCTCCTATTTTACTCACCGAAACAAAATCATTTTGGAGTATATTTGAGTTTATCAAAACTCCGTCGTTTTGATATCTGTGCCACGTCATAATGCCGTTAAATAATTAATAACATAATGAGTAAAATGATTCAATCTGTAAAGTTTAGTGAGCAAATTGATCAAATTAAAAATTGGATGAGTAAAATAGGAGATAGAGTAAAGTGAAGAAATGTGTAATTTTCCCTAAAAAGAATTATGAAATTAAGATATAATATTTAAATTATGAATAAACAAGATGCCATGAAAACAGGGATCATTGTATTGAAAGGAAACTAACCTCACGTGCCTTGAAACCTTCTCCGGTGCTCCCATGGCTACTACCATCACGTGATGTGTTTCTTGCAGCATTCACCATGCAAAGCTGCATGATTTTCTCAGCCACTTCGCCTTCATTATTCTCGCTCTCTTCATCAGCCTCTCCACTTCAGCCCTAGGCACTCTCAACTTAACCTTCATCGCCGTCGTCCCACTTCCACCGCCCTCCTCGGCGGCCGCCACCACGCTTCCGGCGCCTTTCATCGTCGTCAGATCGGACACCGACCTCCTCGACAACATCAGGCTCTCCAGCCTGTCTTTCGCGCTCATGTTCACGGGGCCCGACCGAACCCTTCTCGGGACTCTCTCGATCGAAGCTTCGGGCAACACCACGAGGAAATAAAGCCGCTTGGGCTCCAGCTCTTGGTGCGGCTCCAATGGCTTCGCTCGAGTACCGAAATGCTTAACGGCTTCGGATTCTAACAGGACATGTCCCGGATGAAGTTTCAGAACATCATCGGCTTTCACCGGCGTTTTCAGCTTGAATGTTTCGCCGTTTATTTTCATCACCTTCGTCGTTCTTTTCCCCGCTAGTGAATTCCCCATTTTTATGAATATTTTGGATTTGGAAAAAAAGAATTAAAAGTGCTGAACTGGTCTGGTTGGGTTTATAAGAGTTCAGGGAAAACTGGTCAACAAAAGAGAGCAGAGATGTCATTTTTTTAAAACTCATTTACTACTATTATTTAATTTAAAGTAAAAATAGACAAATGACCCCTCAATTATATGATATTACTTGTTGAGTTCCCAAACTATTAAAATTTACAAAATGATTACCTTATTCATATGTTTCAAACTCATCCTTATCTGTTAAAAATTAAAGGTTGTCTAGGTTGAACATTCTGGTTAGGAGATGATAAAATCTTATCCTATAACCGTTTAAGTTGTATTTTATAAACCAATCCCCATTTATATATATCCTCAAACCAATACTTAAAACATTATAATATCGAGTCAGTGCTTAAAGAAATGGTGGTGCCTGTAGATATCATTAAATATCCCAACCATTAGGTCAACGTCCATATTATGGTCCTCAACTTTTTAACGTTAAATGAGAAGTTTGAAATATGTAAATAGTTAGATGATTTTATAACTTTTAATAGTTGAAGAACTAAACAAAACAATACCTATAGTCAAAGGACCATTTGTGTACTTATGTCTAAAAAAAAAAAGCCTACAATATGACTTTTCAATTAAGAATTTAATACACTATTTGAGTCTAAGGGTTTACAAATTAATCCTCCCCCCCCCCCCCAAGTAATCAAAATATTAAAAACGTTTAGAAATTATAACCAATTCAACAAAATAATAAATTCAAGTACACGTTAGCCAACCAGAGGATCGTTTAAGACAGATTTAGGGTACATTCCCGTAACTTGTAGGGAATTAACTAGGAAGGGTCAAACGATCATGAATTTGTTTATTTAAATACATGAATCCATTAAATTAAAATTTGAATCAATTATTATAATTTTTGACAACTTCAAATATTTACATTTAATTTAATTCTATTTTAATATATATTTTAATTTAAAATTTATAAAGCAATTTTAGTAATAAAAGAGAGTATTATTCTCTCTTGATGTTTGAGTTCGGGATATTTGTATGATGTGCGCGTTATCAATAACTAAAAGAAATTTTGAAAAAAATTACTTATAATTATATTTAATTATTAAAAAATTCTTAACTTGATCTAATTTAATTAATTAAACTTACCTCAATGGTTAAAGAAATCTTTGTTGCTCTTAAAGGTCACGGGTTCCAGCACCAACGATTGCAACATGGTGCTTGAGCAGTCAACGTCAAATAGTGAGAGTATTTAGAATATATACTACTTTATAATTACTTAGCTTAATAAAAAAATTACGAAGATGAAAATCTTTTAAAACACAAAATTATATATTAACTGAATGCATGGGAGTGTTTGTTTTTAAAATTTACTGAAATAACTTAATTATTGACAAGTTATTATGTAAAAATGTTAATTAGGTATTGAGTAAATTACATTATTCATTATTACTTATATCTCTTATTTTATTCACTGTACTTCGATTTTATTTACTTACTGAACTTCTAAATTACTCATTTTGATCACTTATAATTATTGTATTACTACTTGGTATGACGCGACCTTTTATTATTATTTAATATAAAAATAATTTAAATATAGAATAAAAAACAAAAGATAATCGTTCACTGTTCATCGACATTGGACACCACTGTCGACGGTTATAGATAGTGGTTGTTCGATCCTATTCCTTAAGTCCGAACTAATATTCATTTTTGTCGGAACATGCTCAGATCCGATCAAATATAAGAAAATCGAAACGTCAGCCATTGTCGATCGTCATAGATGGTGCCCGTTCGATCTTAGATTTCATGGGTCGCTTTTGTCTCGACCCCTGAGTCTGAATCTGAATTCCATTTTATAGGTGCATGCTCCGAAGTCCACGAATAGAAAATCAAAAGTAAGAAATTGAAATGTTTTAATCGAGATTTGTAGGTTTTGAGACGTTTTTCGATGAAACAACAATCAAATTCAGAGTCAGCGTGTCAAAGCGAGTCTCTCGATATAATTTGGGATCAAACAATTGTCGGTTTCAAAGACAAACGGTGGTCGACGGTGACGGAAAAGACGGCGGTGATACTACAAATGGTGCAAAATTGAAATATTTTTCACAGTCTAATAATAAAAAACCACGTCATACCAAAATAATAATACAATAACTTATAATGATCAAAACAAGAGTAATTAGAAATTCAGTGAATAAATTGAAAAAAAATTAAAAGTGCGGTAAACGAAATAACATAAAAAAATAAAATTCAAATGAGGAACGTGTAATTTACCCTTGATTTTTCAAGGATATTTCTAAAAGTGACGCTTTTACAAGAATAGTCAATGATATGACCTGTTTTACACGGAAGAAATTAAAAAAAAATCAAAGTTCTAGAAATACATGAATGAATTAATAATGGTAAGTTCTACGACGTCGCAGGCTTAAAAATGTCTAAAATAAAGTTTTATTAGTTTTGTAATCGTTTAAATAATAAAATCGATAAAAGTTACTTAAATTTTCCTTATAATTACCTAAAATATTATGTTAATCATGTCATTTTTTAAGCCTAATAATGTTTCTAATATTTTTTTTCGAAAATCCGGTAAAAAAACACCTAATAATAACAAAATCGATAGCGTCTAATAATATTTTCGATAATTTTTACCGATTTTATTATTTAATATAATAACAAAATCGATAACATTTTATTTTAGCCGTTTTTTATTCTACCTTCACCGAATCTATCCTCTTAATAATGTAAGGTGTAGACCATACATACATGAAGTGTCGGCTCATACACTTTATTGAAATACTTTTTCAGGAAAGAAGGTTTTTGGCTTATAAAATAATAGTCTTTCTTCAACACATGATGATATAAAGATGGACTTTCTGGACTGCACATGGGGGCATTGTAGATTGTGCAGACTTCTTCTACAAAACCTAGTTTAATTAAAGGATTTTTATCGCCAAACGAATAAAAATATATCAATAAATTTTGATAATTAAAAAGAATAATTTTATAAAATTTTGAGTTCGACCACTTACGTTATAGAATATGTATACGCTGTTAATGAGTAAAAAATTGGTTAAAGTATGCATATGGTATTAAAACTATCAGTTCTTGTCCGTTTTAAGATCTAAAATTTCAATTTTTTAGAGAAATAAGTAAAAATAGTATATGTTCAAAGATAGATTTCAATCATTTGACATTGAACGCTTACACTCTATCATTTCTGGTGTTCGAACCTGAAAAAAAAAAATAACATTAATTTTTTTACAATAACTGATTATAATAAACAATGAGGAAAATGAAAACAATCCGAGCCAAGCAACTAATTCACTTTTCCATTTGCTCCTCCGTTCAAGTCAGGGATGGACCTAAGCGGGACAGGTGGGGTGGACCTAAGTTATGTTATTTTATTTTGTTTAATTAATCTTCTTTTTATTTTATATAATAGATGATGTTGTTGCTTTTGTAACACGTTTTTTTGTTTGTCCACATAACTTGCTTCCTATTTTCTCAAAGTTTAAGTTTAATGTCGTCTCTCCCATTTATTTGATTATCTTATTACATTATTTTGGACTTGTGAACTATTTTTTTAATTGATAGACATTGCAATCACTAATGATAGTCAACAGATGAATTGTGATTTTGAATTATGACATTGTAATATGGATTTTTGTTAGTGTTCGTAATGTTTATCTTTCAGCATCGATAGTAATCTTTATTTGTGTCTATCATTTGTTCGAATTATTTATTTGAAAATTTTATCTCTTATAGGGTGTTATTGAAAAGGATTCATTAAAAAAAGAAATTGGTTCTCGTAAAATGACAAAATCCTTTAAAAGTTATTCATAAGTTAAAATTATTGAGATTAAATCAATTTTTACACACTCGTCAATAAAAAAATGAATACACAGAAAGAGCAATGAGAATGGCTCTGTCAAACAATTAACAAACTCTTTGTTGCAACAATCAAAAGGGTCACGGCTGCTGTAATTTCGAAGGTGCTCCAACAATGAAGTAGCCTTCCGCTTTGCCCTCTCGCTCCCGTTCTTGGCAAGCTCCGTCAACGGGATCGCCGCACCGAGCCTACTTAAGCAGGCCAGATTCTCAGAGTCTCTCTTACACAAACAAAGTAAAATGGCAGCTGCATTCTCTTTGTTTCGGGGTAAACCAGTTTGAATAAGATCGATCAAGACCGGTATGGTGCTAGCCTTAACTATAGCTGCCTTAGCATCATGGTTGCTAGCAAGAACCGATAGAATCGTCAAAGCATCGTCGACCATGCAGTTTCTTGAATCCGTGAGCATCTTCAGCAGTGCTGTTATAATACCGGCTCGAACGGCCCGGCCCTTGTTCCCCTGATAAATGCATAGATTGAATAGAGCAGTGGCAGCATCTTTCTTTCCTCGAGTGCTTCCATGTTGTAACAAATCCACCAAAGCTGGTATTGCCCCTGATGTACCAATTATTTTGTTCTCATCTGCAAGTGACAAACTAAAAAGGGTAGCCGCCGCATCTCTCTTGCTTCCGGCTCGGAGAACTTGGCCAATGGAAGGAATGGCACCGGCAAGCATTATAAGAGACTTGTTATTTTCAAATATGGACAGGTTAAGAATAGAAGTTACTGCATGTTCTTGCAATGAAACATCGTCTGCTGTTAAGAGGCTGACCAGGACGGGAATCGCTCCTGCATCTGCAATTAGTATCCTGTTATCTGTGCTTCGTTTCGACAGTGATCGGATTTCAGCCACAGCTGCTCTACGTTCCTCTAAGCACCGGGTTGACAGTTTAGAGACCAGTGCCTGGATGACTGCCATGTCACCACTAACATCACGGAAAGATCCGTCGCTTTTTTTGAGCCTACCGTTTGCTAATCCACTTGGCTGCTCAATCTTATGTCTAGTACACCATTGACTTATTAGACTTCTCAGAATATAGTTAGGGGTTAGAGTTAAATTTCCCAGCTTCTGCTGCGTTTTCGGACACGTTACGTTGCCACAATCTATCCATCTCTGTATGTAAGACCTCTCATATGTCTGTAAAATCAAAATGATAATTAAACAGAAGGCAAAGGCTGATCATGGAAAAATGAACATAGGAACTACAAACAGAAGCTGTGGTGGCACAATATACCTGCCCTGTAGCTACAATAACCGGATCCCTCATTAATTCCAAAGATATCGGGCATAGATAATCAACTGGAATTACTAGTGCATCGGGTTTCTTGGTTTGGTCAGTACCCTTAGTGGCCAGATTCTCTTTCCGTTTCGAATCGATTTCGTTCGAAAGGAATGCCTCAGAAGGAGTTGAGGAGCTGTTCACTCTTTCCAATACCTTAGTTTCCTCAACAGCACCAGGATTTTCTGGTACACCATCCATCTTTCCTAAAATATCATGGTTGTTGGTATCACCACCTTTTTCGAGTGGATGGGAAATTGCATTCAAAACTTTACTCGAATTCAAAGACCCATATCTTTCTGTTGCTCTTCTCAATTGCGCTCTCACCAATGAGATCTGGAAAAAGAAAAGGGAAAGCAGTTGATCTTAGAAAAGCAAGTCATTATAGAAAAATAAGTAAATAAAGAATGAAGAAATTATAAATTTTGGAACTAAACCTGTTCCTGAACCTCCTCTGAGATTTGAAACTGATCAAATGGAATTTTGGCTAAACTTTTCTCCAGCTTCGAAGTAACACATTGAAATTGGAAAGAAATTCTTTTGGCAGCCCCATCCTTCAAATTAAGATTTAGCAAATTTCAGAATTCAGAAACTTAGTCCCTATAACATAACATACTAAGAACAAATGCATATCCTTCTTCAATTTTCATGATCTGCAATTGCAAATTAACTGGAATTGCTACATTTACCGATATAAAAACTAGCACTTGGATAGATTACAGTCTTCCGACTCTTATTTTTCTTAAATAATCTATCTCATACTTATATTCATGGATAGAGACACATAATCTTAAAAACTTCAAGAAGAAAATCGAGATGGAGATGATCTATGGCGGTCAATACAAATTGACTCAATAATTGGTATGTGGAAAATTTTCCGATAAGAAAATAGTTGACTAATTCTGTCAGTTTTGCGATAGAATTGACTCTATCAGTTAAAATCAAAATGAAACATAGTTCAAGTATTTGAGTGCTAAAACAACTGCCATCGCCGGACATCACTAGTACTCATGCTCTTCAAAATAAAGAAGGGAGATAGGGGCGTTACAGAAGAATTAACGGACTGGTAGACTGAAGCAGCAGACAATAGACGCTTAGCAGCCTGCAGAGCAATGGCGAGATCATCCGACCATGAAGAATCAGAAGAGGAGGAAGCGTGATCATTCTCAGACGGTCCGAAATCTCTGATTTCCTCGAGCAAATGCGTGAAGAGAGCTATCCTCCTGACCAGATCCGTGCAATCCTTTTTAAACACTCCGGCAGTCACACTCACGGCGAAGATGTCGTGGACAAGGCGGAGCAAGAACGCGGCGGAAGCGTCGGCGACGACTCCGGCGGCCATTTTTGAAAGCCGGGAGTCAAAAAAAAAATTTAATGAAGAGGATTGACGAATATAAGGAGACGGTGAAGCTGCATTTGGAGAGATGGGAACGATGATTAATTAATTTATTAATTAAAATTGGATTCGGATTGAATTGAATTAACAATTTAGCACAGAAAGAGAGAGATTCGCGGGGGAGAGAAGAAGAGGATACAGTTGGATTTGGAATATTGTGTACTGTTATACCACTGCCACTCTTTTATTTTATTTTATATATAATACAAATAGATGTCTCTGTTCTCATATGTAATGAGATAAAGAAAGATAAAATAATAGGTTATTTTTAACACTAGATTGAGAATAGCTTTCGTAAGAGAATTCCAAATTATGAAAATATCTATATAATACGAATTATTATTCATTCTCAACAAAATTACAAAATAGACACTCAATTATTATTATATTTATTAAATTTTTTGAATATTAAAAGTTATAAAATAATTATCTGATTATTCATTATGTTCTAAATTCGTCATTTTATGTTACAAGGACAATAATTGTCTAATCTGGACGTTAACATACTGATTGAGATATGATAGTCGTTTGAGATTCTATGATCATATTTATCATATCGCAATCAGTAGGTTAACGTTCAACTTATAATACTATCGACTTTTAATAGAAAATGATAAGTTTGAAACCTAATGAATAGTCGAGTGACTATTTTGTAATTTTTAATAGTCGAGAAACTCAACAGAACAACATTATACGGATGACCATTTTGTAACTTTTAATAGTAGATGAATTTAATAAAACAATACCCTATATTCGAATTGCGATAGTCCAAGTTCGCAAGTTTGCATTGCGATAGTCGACTATCGCATTGCGATTTACATATTCGCATTGCGATTTACATATTCGCATTGCGATAGTCCAAGTTCGCATTGCGATAGTCGAAATTCGCGTTGCGAATCTGGAAACTGATTTGCGATACCGGAGATCGCGTTACGAATTATCGATCGCATTGCGATTTAGTTGGTCATTTTGACAAATCCATAAAAAATTAGTTAAAATCGTATATTATAAAATATTTTTGGTCTATGAAATTTTTCTCTATAAAAAAAAAAAAAGTTGAAAATGACATACTTTTTTCATTAATTTATTTTTTGCATGTTTTACAACTGATTTTTTTTTAGTTTTATGTATTTCCAGGCCTAATAAATTCATATTTTATAAATTTAAAATAAATCAACCCATTATTTCAACTTTTTTTTTGTTATGGAGATATATCACCTCAATTGCCCATTATTATTTATGGCATGACTTTTTGAATAACCTTTTTGTCACGTATTTTAGATATTGAATTGTCATTATTGTCACGTATTTTAGATATTGAATTGTCATTATGCTTTTGTGGAAAAAATTGTAATTTCGGTAATAAAAGAATTGTTTTTATTATTTTAGGTCTCGTGTTTGAGTATTAAAAATATTTAGGAGTGTGTACGTTCAATGTCAACGATTGAAAATTATCTTTGAACAAATATCACATTATACTTACCGTACTCAATGTCTCGATTCTTTAAATATTTCTAAGAATACTTTGCTGTTCTGAATCGTACTCAATGTCTCGACGCTTTAAATACGCGTAAGCTTCCTATTGATCTATTGTAACCTTGAGTGGCTTCCAAATTCATGCAACATTCTCTAGATTTATATCATCATTCAAAGATCATGAAACTCTCAGAGATGAATGCCTTCCCGTTTCAAATTGTCATGTCGATTGATTAATTCTTTGGATCAAGTTGTTTCCAGGTTTTGCATGGATTCGGATGGTTTCATCGTCTCTCTTAGTCTTGCGAAGCGAATCTAACTTAACTCCATCATGAAGAATGGATTTTTGAACTTGGGAGGGGATTCTGTGGTACAAAGTGTATCGGATATCCTAAAGCAACGAGAACCGTTGAATATAAGTCTCAAAGAACAACTCTGAAAGCCCAATTAAAGATGAAATAGAATGCTGATAAAAAAGAATCGATCGTGAATTTTCAGGTGGGCGGCGTTGTTTACCTCAACTTCAGCCTTACCGACAGACATCCTTGGCATTGAGGAAGAATCTGAAGCTTTCTGCCCGCTACTATGACCCTACACAGTATTACAACGAATGGGTTAGTTTGCTTATAAACTCCAACCTATTAAAATCTCCACCCAGTATTCCACGTTAGCCTACTCAGAAGAAAGTGGGAGATGGTGTTTCTCTTACGATCCACCAGAATTGACTTCCAAGGGACAAATGAAGTCTTCCCCCGCGAAGGTGCTCGTAAAAGGATGGTGAGCGTGCCAATCGGCCTGTAACTCAACTCTTAATTGAATGACAAATTTGGGTCCTAACAATGCCACTTTGGAAGATCACACATTCTGAGGTCTCGATTTGGAGTTTGATCTTTGGGGTCAAGGATCCTCTGAAGGAGGGGACTTTGTCATGATCATGGGAGAAAGAGAGGAAATTGGAACAAGCCAGGGATTCGGGGGAATGGGGAATTAGGGCAATCCGAAAGAAAAAATTGAATTGAAAAGGGGAATTATGATAGAGACAGTAAACGAGCGTTGAAAGACGACACAAACCAACTGGACTTTCGGGGTGCAACCCAACTGAAGTGATTTGTGTTAATCTGGAGAATGTGCCCATGCTAAAGTACACCTAAGAGATTTTAATACTATTGCTTGAGTTATTTCTGTTTGCAAATAAAACAAACATGATACAGATGTGAATATGTCATTAGATAACCATTGTAAAGAGAATATATGTGCCAGTTGAAATGTAATGCCAAGGACATGAATGAAAATACGCAAAATTCGGAATTTCTTTAACCTATTCTCTTATTCTTCATTCTAAAACATAAAGCTTTCATCTTTAACCGCCACTTGTAACAATATTCCAGCTCTTCAAATTTTAGTTGTTCATTTGTAGTATCTCAATCGTTGAATGTAAGAGATCTTGGTCTATAAATAAAGATAATCCTTATTATTTAATAGTAGTAGATACGCGAATATATTATGTTTTTTGTCGTGGTTTGTTTTTCTTTCTACCCATATTTTAATATATTTTTTTATTGAATAACTTTTTGATATCTCAGTTGGATTGTATATTTCTTCAAGTTTAAGTTCGCCCTCTAAATATGCATAAATATAAAAGATAAATATTATTTAAATATATGATTAATTTCTAACTTGATACATGATTATATAAAAAATTTTAAGATTATTTATTTATGTGTGTATATGAAATGTTGATAACTCGATAATAAAAATAATTTATTAAGAGATTAATATTAATGCGTAATGTGATTTTAGATAGTATGTACTTTCCGTAGATGTTTCTGTTGAAGGAAGCAACGCAGGTGAGAGTTGTACCCCAAGATGCTGAGGAAATATTATGACTTTACTACGACTGTGTTGTCACGAGATTTAAAAATTCATGAAGCCAAAAGAGAGATTACAATTAGGAAAATATATGGTGCAATCAAACTGAGAAATATGAGAATAGAATTTTAAGTGAAAATAGTAAATCTTCGCTCGATCATCTAATATATAGATATATATATATATATAATCATACTATTGGAAAAAATATACATTAACTTAAAATTAAATAAGGTTTATTTTATGTAAAAAATATACATTTAAATATAATAAGCATGATTTCAATGAAAATATACCCTTTGCCGAGTATTAAAACTCTTTTTATTAATAAAAGAATCAATAAAACTCTTTTTTAGTTTTCTTAAAAACTATTATTAGGTAAAATAATTTTTACTCTCCTCAACTTTATAAAATTATTAAATTTAGCATCTAAACTTTTATTGTATTCTTTTTACCTTTAAGTTTTTATTTTTTTTCAAATTAACTCAAATATGACAAAACATGACATTAATTTATACTTATTAAAACGTTTACATAAACTATTTATCATTTTTTTTAAAATGACATTAATTATTATATCATCAATTTTTTTTTTTAAAAAATAACATTAAAAATAAAAATAAGTTTTATCATTTTTTAATACGATAAATTAACTAATTTTATTATTATAATAACATAACAGAAGAGAATGAAATAGTTAATGCTAGTTTATAGATGTTATTATTGTTTCTGTCATATTTGGATTAGTTTAATATAAATAAATAAAACATGAGAGATAGAAAATGTAATAAAATTTAAGAATTAAATAATTAAATTCGAAATATTTGAGAATAAAATATTCTTCTCTTATTTTTATTGAGAAACGTGCTTAGCCAAAATATAGTTCGGTTCAATAATTAATATTTTGAATTAGAAATAGTGTAACGAACAAACTAAAAAAGAATCCTTGACGTCGTCAAACGACGGCAACTAGAAACGAGTAAAGCCGAAGGTTTCCAGCTGTGCGTGTCTGATTTCCCGGCGGTAATTGTTACTCTTTCGTCGTCTTTTCTTTTTCCTATGCAAATATAAGACATAAATGGTTGATCTATATATTTTTTACCAATAAAGTATATAAATGTCTATCGATTATAAAATATTTTTTATTAATCTGTGATACGTAAAGTAATATAATTTTTAAGATAATCTTTGATATTTGACATTAAACGCTCACATTCCTGATATTTTTTTACTTGAATCCGGAACATTAGAAAATAACAATAAATTTTTTACACTGAGATCGTTCGAGATGTGCATATACACATGCTTTAATACAAGCTTGTGAAAACATAGAATCAATTGTGAAGCCGATTCAAGATTCCAGCATGAACAACTATTTTGAAGCGATTAGGCATTTCTGGAAACGTAAACTCCCTGAATGTTTCATCCCTTGGATCATAACAACAAGAGCTTTTTCTTTGTACTATAACAAGATCTCACCACTTTTCAAGACAGTCAGAAATCGAACAGACAGATTAGGTCTTAAATAAGCATTGGACTGGATGATCTCTTGTTGCATTAATGTCGTCGGCAAGCAATAAGCGCCGATGCTGAACTCCTTGATCCAAGACTGTTTCACACCGTATTCCTTCATAACCCAATTCTCCAATCGTTCACCGTAATTATCGTGAAACGCGATCGCCGAGAGACAGCCTCTTACGACCATAAGTTGACCGAAACACTTGTCTGAACCGCAACGACAATCAGGCTTCGGTACCTCCTGGAATCGCTCGGTGTCGAGATCGAACGATATAAGCAAGGTAGCCGTGGTGTGCTTTTTAGGCTTGGAAAGCCAACGGAATCTCCAGTGGACCAAAGCCTTAGGTTTCGAAAGAATGAAACGATACGGTATTGTTCCTAGATTTCTCCAGCAAGGGCTTCCGATGGTAAGAATCTGAACCTCCGCCTGAGTTGAAGATATTGTAGGTATAGTACGTACTCAAGTCGACTCTTCTCAGTTGTCTTCGAATACTATCTGAATCACTTTGTATTCCTTTGTGGTTTGATGAAAACCGTACACCAAATGCCCCACAAGTGAAGGGTACTTGACCAATTTGGGGAGCTCGATGTAAAGCCTGGTAAAAGGGTTGCAAATGAATATCCTACGTGATGGATCATGCATGCAAAGCAACCCATTGCATGAGTCTATCAGGAACATGGGATTAGTAGGAGAATTAATGGCCTGGAGCTTCTTTGAGATCACTTTGCCTTCACTGTTATCGAAGAAATCTATGAAGTAGAGCTGATCGGGAATAAGCCAGTTGCTTTCCAAGATGAAGCTCGGATCATTGCCGGCAGCCTCGTCCAAGTGCTTGCTAATGAGAAATGGATCATGTATTAAGGTTCACCATACACGGCAGACCAGCTTTGAACTCAACAAAGATGAGAAGGGAAGCCTGGATGGTATATTGACGATGACTTCCCGAGGAAGACGATGCATCATGTTTGCTGCTGACTGGCCTTTCTTCAAAAGTCTGATCTCTTCCATGGTTGTTTCTTCCATGATTAACAAAGACAGTAAATATATATTTGTATATGTATATATATATATACACATACATACATTAGTCGATCAAAACAAAGCGGATGATGTTGAAAACAAAATAATATGACAGAGAAGATGATAATTGATGATGAAATGGCATATTGATTTCTCAACGGCAAGTTGTGATTTCTCTATAGCTTTTAACTATTTATAATATTCACGTACGACAATGATTTCTTCCTCAAAAGAGTTCAATGGAAAATTCACTTGTTTCCCCCTCAAATATCATATATCATACAAAATCCCCCCCCCCCGGAAAAAGGCATTCAGACCAAATAATGTATCTCATCCGATGGTATTCGGCTGAAAGATCAATGCACCGAGTCTCCGAGATATCACCTTTGAGTTTGCAGTTCACACCCTTCATGTGCACTGATTGGATTGCGATTTCCAGTCATCGAGAAGGTTTATCATAGTTTCCTCAAACTTCTTTGCTTGTGGTCCGGGCTTCAAGACATTTACATCACCCCATTGTGAGCAAGGATCTGCCCACCAGCTTTGCCGGCCAGTGCACCATGTCCCTGAGGCAGCTCGGTTTCGCCCGTGCTTGAGGATCTTTTTGTCAACCATGTCCAACAGAGAATCATCCTTTGGAAATGGTCTTGCAAATGCTGCTCCGCTTGAAGCCATTTGATCATAATCAGAAATGTCGAGGAAGTGGGGTTCCTTCTTCGGGGGACTGTCCCAGATCATATATCTTAAATCGCCGTTTACAGTAGTGTTCTTGAACTCCGGTGAATTGCAAATGACAGAATGGAAATAACTTTCTTCAGATGACATAACATTGTTGAAATACATCACAAGGGTCGGGGGTAAATTATCCCACCCAAAAAGACAAAGTTGCAGAAAGGATCTGCTTAAGACAACCCACGGGGAACCTGCAATTCAGTACCAAACTGCAGATGAGAGTAGCATCGCTAGAGAAACGAAATCATGTATATATGTATGTATATTAGTTTCAGAAAAAATTTAAGCAACAATATGTACTGTAGACTTTGCCTGTGAATACTTTAAAAGCCTCCGGCATGGGTCGTTTATGCGTAGAATGAAAAAATTTGGTCCTCCTAGCTAGGTAAAGCCCTGGGTCAACCACAATAGGCTCAATCCGTTGTTCTCTGCATAAAACAGAACCGATACAATTTAGATTTTAACTTTTCATGTGCAGCAGCAGGACCTATAGATCTCATAAAAAGGGTTTTGCCTACACTTTCCACCCAAGGTCACTAGTATGATCAAGGAAATTGAGGTCCCTTCTAACCGAGGAGAACACGTAGGACAAATCTGAGATACGAACCAAAACCAATAAAAAAGAAGTGTTAGATAGTAGATACAATTAAGAACAATAGAAGCATAGGTGAAAATGCAAGGTAGCATGATGAGGGAAAATACGCATAGTGCGCAAGCAAATGGCGTGCACGGGTAGGTTGGCACCTTGCCTCATTGGTATTTTTATATTGAGCTCCGGATAAACGAATAATGGGAAGATTTTGGATAGAGGACATTATAGCCTAGTAGCACTAGGAACTAATCTTTACTATTTTGCATTTCATTCCGTCTAAAGCTTCTCGGTAGCAAAAATGTTATTCAATATTTTCAATATACGCTATCTACAATGAAGTAGAAATAAACAGAAACTAATTAAGTTTTAAACAAAATTCCGGATATCGGTTTCAACCTGAGCTGTCTAGATGCAAAAGTGTTACTGTGTCCAGACTCCGCACCCAAGCATGATAAAATAAGCAAATAACATCAGAACTCACAGCACTTTCAGCTCCACAAACTAACACACACACACATATTCATTAATACGTTACGATCTTTTAATAGTTGGGCAGAAGTCAGATTGCAGCAAGAACTTTGGACGCAGAGCACCTTGCAGACAAATCAGTATCAGTAAGGTCTCTATAGAAGTTCCGGCCAGAAAAGCAAAGGATATGATTTTCAGCGGCCTTGGGTTGTAATGGTATGAGAATATTGGCATTTGGCACTTCATCTAAATGCCAAAGTGTATCAGCTAAAGGATCTAACTTCATCGGTAAAACAACAAATAATCGCAGAACTGATGCACCAATAACAATGCCGGGCCGTATCTAAAACAAGTCTCGAAAGCAAAACATAGGGGATGCATCATTGCTCTAACATATAACATATTCTAACAGGCGGAAATTTGGTCCAAAAGTTGCTTCCCTTCACTAGATTAATGTTACACCAAAACTCTGCAGATAACATACTACTTAACCATTCAGCTCCGAATTTGATACCGAGTGAGTTAACAGAATTAAATTTTTCATCTGCTCGATAGCTTTCTAAGTTTCATTTCTGCATAATCAAAACCGGCTCAAAATATAGATTGCTAATTAGGCGAATGCATGCTTTCATCCAGTAAATTTTCTTTAGTAGGCTATAAAGCCTACATTCAGTAAAATAATAAATTGACAACAAGTAATGGCAAAAGAATTCTTGGAATCATGACAACTTAAATCGAATAGAAACTAGTCCGAAACATGATCAAAATCGACAATTTTCCTTCAATGGTGTACAACATTCCTCAACCATATCCAAATTTTAGACATTAAGAAACACTCTAAGCTCCAAAACAATGCACTAAACTTTCTATACCGAACCAATGCAAATCATTGAAATTTCAGGCAATTCCAACCAAATTAAGAACTTGTAATTTCTCCAAATAAAAAAAAAAAACTCAATTCTCTAAGATACTCCATACAAAAAGAAAATAATACAAGTCCAAAAACAAAGGAACAAACGAACTGAAGCTGCTTACCATCCTGAGTAACCATGGGATAATCCAAAGCACTCAGAGCAATAAACCAATCCCAGCCACGATCAAGTTTCATCAACATAGAAGCAGCACGCAACGTGGCGGCAATACGTGTAGAACCCATAGAAGAAAACCTATCAGGCTTCCCTGTAACATCAACATTCTCAAAGCTCCTAATAGCAGGCACAGATTTCAAAGCCAAAGCCAAGCTATACCTTTCCACATTAGAGGCGTCAGCTCCAAGTTGCAACAAGTATCGATTCCTGGGATGATAAACAGCAAGCAAAAGCCTAAAGATCCGATCTTTATCACCTTTTCCGCCGAATAAATAATACCCAAAAGCCGGTGGATAGTGAAGGCCATGCTGAACAGGTGAAGGGAAAGCTCTAGGGGAGCTGAAAGCAGAGATTGAGTAAAGTAATATAAGGAGAATGGAGAACAGTGTTATTGAAAAGAGAGTGAAAAGCCATCTCTTTTCAGCTCCCATAACAAAATAAAGTGATTTTAAGCTCTTGAAAGAATTGTGCTTTTTTTTGTAAGTTTTGATTCAAAGCTTGAATTTTTAGCTAAAGGGTGTATTGAGTATTGACAATCAAAGGAGGAATCTGAATTTTGAATATGATTTAGGAAATGGGTAGTTCACCATCTTTGATTTCGTAAGACTTAACACCATTGTTGCTCATAAACTCTCGAGCCAAATGTCAATTTTCTTTAATTCTTTAATTCTCATTTTGTTTGATTGATAAAATTAAATGTTAGGAGCTGATACCGAAGAGCTGATTGGGGTTATGATTTTTCAATTTTCTTTTTCATTTGATGTGGTTTTGATAATTAGATCAATTTTAATTCACCTAAATGGTTAGTTACCAAATTAATTAAGGGTGTGTTTGATAACTTAGAAATATTTTCTTTATTTTTTTTGTGTTTGATAACTGAGAAATATTTTCTTTATTTTTTTTATGTTTGATAACTAAAAATATTTTTTGAAAAATATTTTTTAGTGTTTGATAGTTGTAATTGGTTTTACGGAAAATATTATTCAGTGTTTGATAAATGTAATTGATTTTCTCAATGTAATTCAATTTCTTAGTTCCTTTTTATTTTATGTAAATTGTTTTATCATCTGATTTTCATGTAAAATATTTTCTTAACTTTTCACTTCAGAGTATAAACAATCAAAAAATATTATTTTATATATTTAATATTAAATTAATATTTTAATATCATTTTAATAAAAAATATTAAGTATGAAAATATTTAATATACATATAATATAATTTTAATAATAGTATATTTTTATATATTCAGATATATTATAATAATATATAATATTATATTTTTAATTTAATAATATAGAATAAATTATTAATATTTATCAATTATTTTTATAAGTATAATATTATTAAATTATTAATAATGAGTAATATTAATATAATAATTTAGTATTATGTTAATAAAATACTAATAATTAAAATTATGGGTGTTCAAATGATTAGTTCAACTACCCATCGAATTAAATTATCAGTAATCAAATAAATAAATTTTTTTTCTTTAGTCATTAATCGAATCAATTTTTTTAAAATATTAACCAAACCGAACTTTATTCGTTTTATGTAAATCATTTTCTATAAAATTAATTATATAGTGTATCAAACAATTATTGAAAATGATTAATATAATATCATCAAAAAACCGTAAAATAATTTTAGAAAACTAATTTCAAGAAAATGTAATTCATTTTACATAAAATAATTTTATGTAATTCATTTTACGTAAAAATAATTTTCATATAATTCATTTTACATAAAACAAATTTTATGTAATCTATTTAACGTAAATTATTTTTTTAAAAACAAATTATAATAGATACCATTTTCATAAGCGTGATATCACGTGCACCCGTCAATGTTAACCTCCTAAGGGGGGTGTTTGGTTCAAGGATTGTGGGATTTTCATGGGATGGAAATCCCATATTCCCATGTTTGGTCGGCCGGGAATCTCATTCCCGGTAATGTTTTATTACCAATAGTAGATTTTTTGGGGTATATTACCGGGAATGTCATTACCTCCCTTCCCTTAGGTATTGTAACATTATCGGCGTTTTAGACTAAAATACCCTTAATTTTTTTTATTTTTTTTCAAAAAATATTCTTCTTATGTCATTGAATAATAAAAATTCTACGAAGGTTAAATTATAAATTTATCCTTAAATTATTTAGATTTACAAAAAAAGTCTACAATTAAAATTTTATATGAAGTTCAGAGGTTAAATTTTTTTTACCCTTTCATTAAACCTTTTTTATATTTTTAATTTTGTAAAAAAATTATATAAATATTATGAATTTAATTTTTTAAAGAAAATATGTAAATATTTTACAATTTGTAATATTATACAAATATATAATAAGGACAATTTGGTCAAATATACATTCCAATAATCTTTTATTCCTTTAACCAAACACAGTAATCTTACATTCCGTGAACCAAATGCACCTTAAGTCATTCACTCATTTGCACATAGATGACCGTACCTTCGGTAAAATAGGATACATATATTTTTATATATATATAATATGACTTATTTAGGTAAATATAAGGTAAATTATGTATTTAATATTTAAATTATTAATTTTGATTTATTTTAGTATTTGTGTTTAAAATTTAACGTTAAATTTTATAAAATGAAAGTTTAGATATTAAAACGGATAAAGTCTAATAGTGTAGGTACTAAACGCGTTAAGCTTTTAATAGTAGAATATTAAAAAGAAATAAAAATTAAATATCAGGTATGATTGTTAAAAAATTAAAAGTTTCGATAGTAAAACGGATCAAAATTAATAATTTAATTACTAAATGCATAATTTATCCTAAATAATAATTTATCCTCAATAATATCCGCAACTTTAGAATAAATCAGACAGATATTTAGCTAAATAAATTAATAAAAAATAATTAAAATATAATAAATTTATTTTGTAAAAAAACACGTATAATTACGTGTTAAAGACACAAACATAAATTAAGTCGGGCTCTAATTATAAGTATGTGCGAGGGTCTTAATTATAATTATTCAATTAAAATAATTAGAAAATATTAGATTAGAACACTTTAAAAAATTAATACCCACTGTTTATTAATTTTTTTATAATTGAAAGATGTAACTAAAAAGTATGTTGTGCTTGAGGGATTACCTGACTAATTTTTCCATAATTGTTTTTACCTTTCCTACAATTCAACCTATCTACCGGACTACCTTTAATATATTAAAATTAATTTTTAAAGTATTTATCGAATTATTTTAAAGTTGCAAATTATTTAGCAATTATAAATTAAAATAATAATTTATCATTATTAAGTAAATGTTTTTTTCTAAGCTAATTAATACAAGAAATTTAGTGAAGTGTAGTAAGCTCGAGACATCTATCATTAATGTTATAATTAATTATTCATTTATCAATTCCTAATAAAATTGTTATTTTTTTAGACTATAAATTTGAGTACCGTATATGTCAAATAGTTAAGAGTATTTGAAGAGATATTATCTTATCTCATGAAAAAATTAGATACCTAATTTCACCGCCAAGAAAAGTTTAGGTACCTAATTGCACACAAATGCCAATATTAGGTACCAAAAGTTATATTTACCGTAGTTATTTTCTCAAAACTAAAAACCAAAAATAAGATTTTTTTTGTTCAAAATAAGGATTGCCTTATCACAAAAAAGGGACACGTGTTTGTTTGCTAAGAGATTTCGCTCAATCGCTAATTACTGCACACGAAAAAACGACATGGTGTAATGGATAAAACGACATTGAGCTTCAGTAAATAACACTGTTTGGAACACCATTTCGCCCACAGCTCCTGCTTGCTTCCTTTTGCTTCTTCAGCAGAGCGACACAAACGAAGAATAAAAGAAATATATAAGAAAATTTTAAAAGTATAATAAAAAATTATGGCGTTTGGCGCCAAGAAGTTGGGCCGTGCGGTAGCCGGTATTGGTGGGAACGGCGTGGGCCAGATTTTGGCCGCCATGGCCGCGGCGCTCTTGATTCGTTTGTTATCGGGGCCCGACACAGCTATCTCCCCGGAAGATGAAACATCCGATGAAAACAGCGAGGACGTCAATGGAGATGGAGATGATGCTCCGCCGTCAGCTGGAAAAGTTTTTCCGGTCACTATAACATGGAGGAACATAAACTGTTCTCTCTCAGATAAACGCTCGAAATCAGTAAGTAAATAGTAGTAACAAATTTCCTGTGTTTTTTTAATTCTTTTATTATTATTGCATTTGCATGATTTCTGAGGAAATGCAAGGAAAATGAAAACATATTTGAGCTTAGAATTGAAATTGAAAGTGGTAGGATTTCTTGTCTTTTAAATCTAAAAGATATTTATTTTATGATAGGTTCGGTTTCTGCTTAAAAATGTGAGTGGAGAGGCAAAACCTGGAAGATTACTCGCCATAATGGGGCCATCAGGATCAGGAAAAACCACTCTCTTAAACGTTTTGGCAGGTCAGATTTTGGCATCGCCGCGGTTGCAGTTGTCAGGTCTTTTGGAGTTCAATGGGAAGCCTAGTTCAAATAAAGCTTACAAGTAACGACATTATTAACTTTGAAATCATTTGTAGTGTACTTTATATCTGAATTTGATGGCATCTATAAGACTGTTTCTGGTTCTTGTAGATTTGCTTATGTTCGACAGGAGGATCTTTTCTTCTCACAGTTGACAGTTCGAGAAACATTATCTCTTGCTGCAGAACTTCAACTTCCAGAGATATCTTCTGTTGAAGAGAGAGATGAATATGTGAACAAGCTTTTACTTAAACTAGGCTTGGTAAGAATAACTTGATTTCCATATGCTGGAGATATATGAACTTGTTGGGCTTGGAAACAGATTACTTTTACCGTCTTAGCTGACGTTTGCTTTACAAATAGTGATATATAAATTCGGTGCTCGGCTGGAAAGTATTTGCTACACTACTACCATATATAACAAATTGTATGATCTTTGCTTTTGGGTTAATACAAAAGATGTAAGAAAGAGGATTGCTCAATTTATACTCGATTATCTATCATTAACATTTTTATCCTGGTATTGATCTTCTTTCTGGGTGTTCTTTTTTTTCATTCTCCAAAAGGTCAGCTCTGCTGATTCAATTATTGGTGATGCCAAAGTTCGTGGGATCAGTGGTGGTGAAAAGAAACGCTTGTCATTAGGTTGTGAACTGATTGCAAGCCCATCTGTCATATTTGCTGATGAGCCCACAACTGGTATGCACGATTTAGCATAATTTAATTATTCTTGTAAGATTGCTCTTGAGAACTCATTTTTTTCCTGTTACATTTGATCTCACTACTTCTAAGTGGTCTTTCAATGCTTAACATGAACCATCCATCATGATTATGTCAATACTTGACTAACGATTTGCTATCCTCTGGTATGTCAGACACCTGAGGTGCAAAGGAAAAGAATGTAGCTAAGAGTAATCATTTTCAGAAGTTCTTCATAAATTATCTACCATTTATACGAAAGTGGATGAATAAGAGAAAATCCGATTTTACATATTACATATCATGCCATGCCCAAATCAATTAGTTATAATCTTTATTGTAGAACAACAAAATAAAAAAGAATAATTTATTGATAGAGCAGATATTCAGGGTTTGTCTGTGAGGGTTGATCTCAGTCTTTCTAGGTAACCTAGTAATGCTTCATTAAAATCCATCTATCATGATAATATCTATGGTTGATCAATTGCCTTCTCTGTACTTCATGATTTTTTATATGTTAGGCACCTAACAAGTATTGATAAAGCGTGTGTGAGGAGCGAAGTACAAAATGTAGCAAAGAATTATACATTTCTATGACGTCCTTCACAGAATTTGTGCCATTTGTAGCTCGCAAACAAAACAAAATTTAAATTCACAAATAATTTTATGCTATGTCCAAATCAATCAGTTAAACCTTTCTCATAGAACATCAATATAAATGAATGTCTTGCTTCTGGAGCAGGTATCTAGGGTTTGCCTTTGAGGATTAATCATCATTATAAAACAAGAAAGTACTTTTAAAATGTCAGATGGTCCTGTTTTGTTAAGAGATTTCAGGTAAATACATTGGACATGATTTCAGAAAGAAGCTCAAACTGCAACTTTGAATTGGCTAAGTAACATTCTTAAGCACATTGGAAGTTAAAATGAAATGTTTATTATTTGAATTGTATGCATGCTTAATCAGAGATCAGCTACTGTAACAGAGAGGGGTGACTGGTGCTTATATACTCTCTAGCTGTACATTTGACAAATTAAGGCTGGGTAATCCTTAACTACCTGTATAGTGGGACATGAGGCAGTATTTAGATGCAAGTGATAGATATAGAAAACCTCCACAACGAGTGTTGCATGAAGATTTGAATCGTAGTCTTGTAGTCCATGGATAGAGTACAGATAAGAGCATAAGTTATGCAGAAACTGCATAAGCAGTCATTTTTGTACTCATGGTATAATATCTTATGCGTTGGTAATCTAATGATTACAAACTGAACTGTATAATGGATTGATTAAGAGAGGACCTTTTAGCTGGCACCTGAAACATAATTCGGTGTAAAAGTGTGCCTTTACTATTTGGTATAGTTTCTTGCTAGCTTAAGTTCTCTGCTTTGTCTACCTAGGAATGACCACAACTGCCCATCCAGATAGGTTTTGGTTATCCATATATTAGGTTAAGCAGAGTATATTTTTTTTTTCTCGTCCCTGCTGGAATTTGTGTATGGTCATTAATATCTTTGCCAGACTTGACTTTAATCTTCCAATTTCTTCTGTTGCATTCAGGACTTGATGCTTTCCAAGCTGAGCAAGTAATGGAAACACTCCGCCTACTTGCACAAGATGGTCATACTGTAATTTGCTCAATACATCAACCTAGAGGTTCTGTGTATGACAAATTTGATGACATCGTGTTGCTAACAGAGGGCGCACTTGTTTATGCTGGCCCTGCACATGATCAGCCACTGGAATACTTCTCCAGATTTGGGTTGTAATCAAACTTGGCTCCTGTTTATTACGGAATGCACTGCCTGCCTGCATACCATGGTTCTTTGTTTAGTTTTAAATATTTTTATACGGATTGAGTGATTTTTATTGACTGTGACTTGTGATTGGAAGGTGCCTGCCAAAACCTGGGACATGTAATACCTTTGATTTAAAAATATTTAACCTCTAAAAGGTTCATGGTTGGATTTAGGATGAAAATTATCCATTGAGTTTTCTTGCTAGGGATCCTGATTAGCATCGATATACTTGTACGCTGGATGAAGTTTCTAATGTAACACTAGCACTCGCATTATGCTTGAAATATAGCTGCATGTTTCCGCATCTGTCTTCTTAAAACTTGGTATTACAGGGAAAAAGATAATATTGCTATTGCCTCATCATTTACCATTATGTTGTTAATGTGTGATACTGATGCATTGCTTTGTGCGTTATCTTGTGAACTCACTATGTTTTTTCATTTTGTTTAGGAAAGCGGATGATCTACACATATTCTTCACACACATCATATATATATTATTGTTTCATTGATTTCATGTTTGAAATACTTTTGAGGATCATGAACTGGTTATTTTCTTCTGCTTTTCTTTGCTTTAATAAATAATTAACTGTTTTTCAAGCTCTGTTTCTAGATGAAATTATCTAACAACAATGTACCAGAATCTGAAATTATGAGACTTATGCTTGAATATTTGGTTAATCAACAGGTACCAGTGCCCAGATCATGCAAATCCTGCTGAATTTTTGGCTGATCTTATATCCATTGACTACAGTTCTGCTGATAGTGTCTACTCTTCTCAGAAAAGAATTGATGCTCTTGTTGAAGCATTCTCAACACAGTCATCAGCAGTTCTTTATGCTACTTCACTTACAGGAAAGACTGTTCCTAGGCATGGCATGAAGTTCAGCAGGAAAATTACTGCTAAGAGGAAAGGGGGTTGGTGGAAACAGTTCTGGTTGCTTCTAAAACGTGCATGGATGCAAGTTGGTTTTTCTACTATTTAGTATAAATTTTATGCCTGTTTAATTTTTATTGTTATCTTTACGGTTTAAAGACATGATAGAATATAAGAACAATCTCTCCTTTCCATTCTTTGGTTTGATTAAGAAATTCTGGTAATCCATCTTTCTGATATTTAACTGCTTCATTTTACCCACTCTGGCTAAGCATTAATCCAGTTAATTTCTATTTAACCGGCATCCAATGCTTTATTCCTTCCCTGAAGCTAGAGTAAGAATGAAAAGAGAGCCAATAAAATCATTGTAATTTGTAACATGTTAGTCTTCTTATGTGAGTTTTTTTTTAATACAAAGCTTGCTAATTTCTTTGTTTCTTTTGCATTGGGTGGCTGTGTGTGTACCTGTACCAGTACATGTATTCAAGAATGGTCCTAACTTTTCTTTTTTATCGATTGACAAAATGGTTAACCAGGCTTCTCGTGATGGACCAACAAATAAAGTTAGAGCTAGAATGTCAATTGCGTCAGCTATAATATTTGGGTCTGTTTTCTGGAGAATGGGAAGATCTCAAACGTCCATACAAGACAGAATGGGGTTGCTTCAGGTATGAAACCTCGGTTTCCTTGAAATTCTTCTTGCTTTTTTGAGTTAAAATTGCAACCATGCAATTTTTGCAGTATATGAAGTCTCTTTGATCCTACTTTAGTCTCTGACTCATGACTTCTGTAAGAAAGTGGACCGAAATTAATAGTTCAAGTGTTTTTTGTGTGGGAGGTTGGTGGAGGGGAATTAGGTGAGTGTGGAAGGTATTGTGGAGGATTTTTCTTTTTGACCATACCATAAATTGTTGCACCTGATAAATGGAAATGAACCATTGGGATTCTGTACCCTGAATCAAAAGGGTTTTTAGGTTTTTACGATTCTCAGATTATGGATATATTAATGTTTTTCTTTAACTCCGGTGGGTAGTTCATCTAATGAAAAAACTGGCTAATTTCAAACTTTTGCTGGTGTTGCCTCGGGAATTTCATCCTCTCCTTGTGGTGCCGTACCTCAAAGGCCCTCATGAGACCACACTAACTCCAACCAATTAAACATGCCCCTTCCGAAAATTGATTCTTTGTTGTTCAACAAAGTATATGGTGTTTCCATGTCCAAAAGGCAGCATATTCAATTATCTATGATTCTTGAAGAGCAACTGGTCTGGAGCAATCAATGATATATATGTGATTCTTAAGTGAAATAGGTATTAAAATTCCTTAACACTGTTGGTAATCATATGCCATGTGTCAGGTTACTGCAATAAACACAGCAATGGCAGCTCTCACAAAGACTGTGGGTGTATTTCCCAAGGAACGTGCAATTGTAGACAGGGAGCGTGCTAAGGGATCTTATGCATTGGGACCCTATCTTCTTTCCAAATTGATAGCTGAGATACCTGTGGGAGCTGCATTTCCTCTAATGTTTGGGACTTTGCTGTATCCCATGGCTGGCCTTCATCCAACCTTGTCCAGGTCTTTTTCATAGTCTTCCATAATGAAGCTCTTTATATTATGGGTAAACTACAGCCATAGTTACCAACTATGGGTAAGTTTCTCGTTAACTAATTGATAGGAATATGATGTGGCTGTTTATAAAATTGGTATAATAATAGATTTAGCCCATAACCTTTAGGAACAAATTGTTACGCTGTGTTAAGTTTAAGGGCGAAATCTAGTATTATACCAATTTTATAAACAGCCAAATCATCTTCCCGTCAATTAGTTAACTGCTAGTGACAAGAAAAGAGAAACGATTAGTTGAGTGACCAATTAAGAACATTTTATGGTAGGGTAACAAAAAAGAAACTTACACATAGTCAGTGAACATGAGTGTAGTTTACCCTTATATTATTTACACTAGACATAAATATGTTGCACGAAATCTACAAATGTCATGTTTTGTTAAATAATTGCTTACCATTTGCCTCCTTTTTAAGAACCTGAAGAAAAACACAGAAACAATTATTGTTAGTATTTTTGTCAATGTGCATAAAAAACACAGATTTTGGTTTATGATTCTCAAGCTTGAAATATATGACAAAACCAAGGCACTAAGATCAATAGTTAGGTGATAATTCGGTTAGTTCTATCATGGTGATTTGGTGAACTGACCTTGAAGTTTGACTTTTTAGATTTGGAAAGTTCTGTGAAATTGTGACTGTGGAGTCTTTTGCTGCATCTGCAATGGGTCTGACTGTAGGGGCCATGGTCCCAACAACTGAAGCAGCAATGGCCTTGGGACCCTCTCTTATGACGGTCTTCATCGTGTTTGGAGGGTATTACGTAAATGCAGATAATACACCAATTATCTTCCGTTGGATTCCCCGTGCTTCCCTGATAAGATGGTAAATACATTAGTACTAAGATCTGATATTTGATGATGACCAAAACCATAGTTGCTTGTGCTTTTTGGAAGATAAGTCGCATCTTCGTTTACACGCTTTCAGGGCCTTTCAAGGGCTTTGTGTCAATGAATTTACCGGTCTTAAATTTGACCGCCAGCATTCCTTCGACATTCAGGCAGGAGAACAGGTATTTGGAGAGCATATTTCCCTCTATTTGAATTTCAAGTTGAAATTGAAAGAAGACTGCCTGGCATAGACCAACACAAAACTATGAAAATGAATGTTCTTCTGAGAATGAGAAAATTAACATTATTAATATCGAATCTGTGTTCCGGTGTATGTAACCGAAGTTAGCATGATGAGTAGGCAGGTTCTTTACTACAGTGTAGAACAACTGATATTATTAAATGATGTTCAAACAATAACTGACCTCCTAGTTCTTAGGTTGATTAGAATAAATTAATATGCAAAGAAAGCGACAAAAGTACATGCTTTCCGCCAATTGGGGAATGTGGTTAGCATTTAGTACTAGGAATAACTTGTACTTATAGGAGGGCTAATCTAGATGGCATAATTGGTGTTAAGCAGTCTCATGGACTTTCCTTTTAGCCAAATGGTGTCTACAATAAGATTTTTCAGTTCTTGTTAAGCATTCGCATGAGGCTTTCCTCGTAGTCATTTCTAGTCTATGGTAAGATATTCTTTTTCTCGCTTGATGCAGGCACTCGAGCGATACTCCCTGGGAGGAACTCCTATCAGCGATACAATTATTGCTCAAATTAGAATTTTGTTGTTTTGGTATAGCACCACTTACATCCTCCTTGAGAAAAACAAACCGAAATACCTGCAGCTTAAGGAGCCTGCATCTCAGCAACTCGAACCAAAGCTAAAGCTTGAACCTTTATTAGAAACCGACCAACCTCGTCCAATCAAACAAGATGAACAAAACGAGCAAGTTGAATCACCTCCAGTTTACCAAATCGAACCATTCGTCCTAGAAGGTTTGTAAAAATTTAGGCCTTAATGATGATGTTATAAGAAGTGCTACTATTTATTGATTTATGTCATACAGGTGCTTAGTAAAGGAGATAGCATTGCAATAAAGGAGGGTCTCATGCATTTTCTATGCTACATTTTACATCAATGGTGTATTTTTCCATGTAAAATAGATCTTCCGTAACGGATCTTTATGACATCCATATGAACCATATCTGCTACAGTTACAGACATCTTTGACATCTTTTGTCTAATGAATGGTTAAGACCGGGAACATCTGGTTTTCCTAATCCATAATGCTATGTTAATTTTTCGCTTGCAAATGCCTAACATAACGATTATAAAATTAACGATGTGTTAAAAATGAAAAACTTTGTCGGTTTAATTCGTCGGTCGTTTTGGTGACTCAATGTGGCATTCCTGGATCCGACAGCCATCTCGGGTCGGGTTTAAGGTGTTCAATTTTGAGATTAAAATATAATGTTTTAAAGTTTATGAGTTAATTTAAAGTAGGATCACATTCAGTAGACCGAATTAACTCTTTTTGGGCCTTACAGTAGACCGAATTAACTCTTTTCGGCCTATTTAGTGGACTGATTCAAGCTTAATGAATAGCATGTGAGTCAATGTCTGTCTTGTGGTACTGCTTCTACCAAGGAATGCTATTTGACTCAGTTGGGCTTGGTAGGGTCTAGACTCGAACTTACATACACAAATAGTCTTTAAATATTATTAAAAATTCAAAAATAGGAGTAATCACATTTGGTCGGTTGTAATATGAGTAATCATATTGGTCGGTTGCTTAAACTGTCATCTTTGTTTCCTCGTAATTTTTTAGAACATGAATTTTGAATCAACTAGAAGCGCTCACATGCTTTCTCTAGATTTTCTTTCTCTTTCGCTCTAAGTAGGATTATGATTAAATTTATAATTTAATAAATTTATTAAACTGTTATTCATTATAAATTATTAAATAGTGATAGATTTGGATAAATTTAAGAATTATTTAATAATATTTTAATAAATTTAAGAGTTAAATGCATCATTCATCCCTAATCTATGATTCTCATTTTAAATTAGTCATTAAACTTTTAAATATTTCAATTTCATCATTAAACTATGATTATCATTCTAAATTAATCCTCACACTTTGAACATTTCATTTTCATCCCTAAACTATGATCTTCATTCTAAATTGGTCTCTAAACTTTTTGAATATTTCAATTTTATCCTAAATTATATGTATACTAATCACATCTCTTGATAATAAAATCATTAGGCCAAGTTATATTATTATATGTTTGAAAAATAAAATAAAATTTAGGTTAAACTATTGTTGAAATGGATTGCATATTTGGATGAATTTGGAGATGAAATTGGAAGATCTAAAAGTTTAGGACTAATTTAGATTGAGATTCATAGTTTGGGATGAAATTGGAATGTTCAAAAGTCCAAGGACTAATTTAGAATGGGATTTATAGTTTTAGGATGAAATTGAAATGTTTAAAAGTTTAAGGACTAATTTGAAATGAGGGTCATAGTTTGGGGACATATGATAAAATTATCTCTAAATTTAATTATTCTTTTATAATAATTTAATAAAATTTAATTATCATTTTATAATTATTAAAAAAATTGATGATCATTTTATAAATTTTTAAAATTCTAAAGACTAAGTTTATTTCAACATGATTTAATGAGTATATATATAAATGGATGTCCCTTGTTCCCATATGTAATGGGGTAAGGAGGAGGTAAGATAGTAGGCTGCCCCCAATACTAGGTTGAGAGCAGCTTCCGTAGGAGACCTCCAAATTATGAAATGCCCTCCATGGGACTCGATCCCACGACCTCAAGGTTAAGAACCTTGTGCTCTACCAACTGAGCTGGATGGTCATTTAATGAGTATATATATAGTTTACCCATTATTATATAACTACCAAATCACGCGGTGCAATCTCCCCGCCATCTACTCCCAGGCTAAAGTGCAATACCACGTAAATTCCTAGTTTTTATTACAGAATCTTCCAAGTAAAATTACGTAATATTCTCGGAAAAAAACACAACTTTCCGGGAAAATCAATATCGTAAATTCCACGCTCTTGTCTCAAGAACGGCCATATCTTCTTCTACAAATACTCCATCTTCACAAATCCATTGCCCCATTCATTTTATCAATCATTCATTCGACAGATATATTCACATCCAAAAAAGAAAACGAAACATGGAAGCAACAGTCAGCTCTCTTCGTAAATCCTCAACTTCATCTCTTCTTCCGCCACGTCCGTTCCCCGGTAATCCGACATACCGGAGAACGGAATTCAAAAGACCAAAAACGGTAAACGTAAAAGCATGAGCGTCGAAACGGTCTGAGCCGCACAGTCACGATTTCGACGGGAAGTCAGTGGACGAGAGTATGATCGTGTTGAGAAAGCGGATTCAGGAGATGAAGACGGCGGAGAAGAGTGACGGGCCGTCGCCGCATTGGACGGAGTGGGAGAAAGAATACAAGAGGGAGAAGTACGACCTGGATGTTTGTGAAGCGATTGGGAATTTGCAAACGAAACTGATGGAGACGAGGCCTGCCGTTGCTTTGGGGATGGGGGTTCTTCTTCTGTTTAGCTTGCCCACTTCAATGTCTGCAGCTTTGTTTCATGTATTGCCTAATTGGCTAGGATGAGTTTTTTTTTTATAACCACCGATTTTCATTCTGATTGTAGAGGTGAGAATGACTCTTCCAATAATTTGTTTCATTCATAATCGTCAGGATTCGAACTCCTGACTTTACTTAAGGGATATAACGTCTCATCTCACTAAACCAACCGATTATTGGTTGACTAGGATGAGTTTTACGACAGTTTAAATTTGATATATTTATCTATCAAAAAGACATTTACTTATGTTGATTAATACAAAATTACTTTGTATAGACGAACTAAACGATTTTGATATTAAAATAATAATAATTATTTTCTGAGGTTTAAGTTTAGAGTACTATGAATACTAAACGTGTGAGTGTTCAATGTCAATGTTTTTAATATTTAATTAAAAATTAAATTAATTTTAATGTATTTTGATCTTTAATATTTCATTTTAAGATAAAAGATTTTAATGTTTAACTAAATAATTATTTTAACTCTTATTCTCTTTTTAAAGCATTTTGACACTTAAAATTTTATTTTTATTTTAGAATAAAAATATTTCTATTTTAAAATATTTACTTACTAATAATTTTCATCACAATAGAGATTTTTTTTGTCCAAATAAAATAGTAATGATCAAAACAATCGAAAAAAGAATGGTTGTCAGGAACGTAGCCATTAATTTAGTTCAAGGATAAAGTATAATTAACAATAAAAAAAATAGAAGAGTTGTTTTATTAAGTTCTCGACTATTAAAATTTATAAAATAATCATTCGACTATAGAAAGTTATTTTATTGAGTTCATTAATTATTAAAAGTTATAAATGGTCAATCGGCTATTTATTATGTTCCAAATTCATCTTTTTCTGTTAAAAATTTGATGCATTTTGAGCCGAAAGTAACCTCATGTTTGTGATATGATAAAATATGATCTTAAAATCTCAAACAACTATCATATTTCAACCATAATGTTAACGTTTAGTTCATATGACCATCAATCTTTTAACAAAAAAGGACAAATTTAGAATATAATGAATAACCGTGTGTTAATTTTGCAACTTATTAATAATCGAGCGACTCAATAAAGCAACACTCTGTAATCAGAGGACTATTTTGTAACTTTTAATAACCAACATACTAATTAAATAACTCCCTATAATCAAGGGATCATTTTTATATTTTACCCTAAAAACTTTGAGTTAATAAAATCGAAAAGTCATATTTTATGATTTAACTTTTAAATTTTTTATGAATTGATTATTTTTATTAATCTAGGAAGATTAAAGTCGTATCATCTATTTTAAAAATCAATTATTTAATAATAAATGTTCAAATATCTTATATGATGCTCGAGTATAAAATCTCTAAAGATATCTTTTAATAAAGAAAGTAACTTAATTGGTGTGCACGAATTGAAAATGTAAAATCCTACTAGGTTTTTATGGTGATTCCAAGCTCACCGGCAACAATAACGGTAGTAGCCATATCAAGAAACATCCCATGTTCAACAACACCAGCAATCCTCAGAATAGCATCGCTCGCCACCCTCAGATCCCCCATCTCTTTCTCCAAATACAAATCCACGATGTAATTCCCATTATCACTCACAAATGCCTCCCCTTTACAATCCTTCCTCAGCCGAGCAACGCAACCGGAATCCTCCAACACGTCCCGGAGTTTATTTGCGGTGAATTTCCAGCAAAACGGGACCACTTCCACCGGCATGGCTAAACCACTGCCGCCCAAATGCTTAACCAGTTTGGATTCATCGACGATGCACACGAATTTCTTGCAAGCTCCTTCCACCATTTTTTCTCTTAGAAGCGACCCGCCACGGCCTTTGATGAGGTTGAGATGCGGGTCGACTTCGTCGGCGCCGTCGATGGCTAAATCGACGGTGGGGTGGTTGTCGAGATCCGAGAGCGGGATGCCTAACGAGAGAGCTTGTTCTTGTGTCTGCTTTGAAGTGGGTATCCCCACTATGTTTTTGAGCTTGCCTTGACGGAGCAACTCGCCGATTCGATCCACGGCGTGTTTGGCTGTTGAACCGGTGCCGAGACCCAGGATCATGCCGGATTCGACGTACTCGACGGCTTTGTAGGCGGCGATTTTCTTCAACTCGTCTTGGGTTAGGATGACGGGTGGTGATAGAGGCGGCGGCATGGCCAGAACCTCCATTGACGAAGCTTTCTCAGACCAAGCAATTGCCATTTTTTTTGTGGTTTAATGAGTAATGAAGAAAGAATAAAGAAGAACAAAAACAGAGCAGAGGAAGCGGAATTGTTTGGTTCTATGGAAAATGGAATGGGCAGTGATTGGTTCTTATAAAGTCGCGCCATATCATCCCATTTTTTCTATTAAAAATTCCATCTTGATTCTTATTTTTATTTGATAATAAATATTTAAATATTTTATAATCATTATGGTTTAAATTCGAGATTTTTAGAAAAAATAATTACCCTTTTAATTAATGATATTTAGGGATGGTAACGGGTCGGATTTGACCTGGGTATTGATCTCTGTCCCCATTTAAAAAATTTG